AAATAAATAAATAAATAAAAGCGAAATAAGAGTCAGTGACCAGTTGTCTTCAAATCCCCCATTTTAAATGGACTAGGGAAAGAAAAAGTGTTGTAAGCTCAATCATCCAGGTAGATAACAACAAAAAAGGTTAAATCATGTCATCTAGACCAGTTTCATTAAGTGAGAAACGTTTCGTCCCCCATCCAGAGGACTTCCTCAGTCTACAGCCTGCCAACCAGATCTGTCCTATAGGTAGCCTTCACTGCTGTGTTTCAAGCCAACCTCCTGTTGGAGGATCGCTTGAGACTGAGGAAGTTCTCTGGATGTGGGACGAAACATTTCTCACTTAAAGAAACTGGTCCAGATGACACGATTTAACCTTTTGTTGGACTAGGGAAAGGTTTTTCCTTTATTTGTATTATCAACCCCCAATGTGAAAGGTGAAAGTCATTAAGTATCCCACTGGACAGATTTTAAGTGAAACATTAAGGGAAAAGTAATCATTGTTGACATAGTTATTAGAGTTGTCACCTTTCTGGATGGAGTTGACATGTTCTCTTGTATGTTCTCTCCATACATGCGTGGGTTTCCTCATAAAGAGACGTACAAATACATTTGTAATGATAAGGAGAACAGGCGTCCTGATCACAAGCTCGCCTTCGAGTGCCTCCACTCCCCGGTAATAATAGACTTTTGAATAATTTCTAAGTAGATTAATTTTGGATAAACTAAGACATCAATATACACAAAAAGAAAAATGATAAAATATCACATTTTACTTTTAAAACAACTATTTATTGGCTTTTCATAACATCTAAATTGACACCGTTTGTTTAAAGATAAAGAACAGTGTCATCAGCAAAAGCCAGCACTTATATGCTGTATGTGATCTGTTCTCTTCTTCTTTCCATGTTTTCCTTTTTCCTCTTCCTTCTCTGCTTCCTCTTCTGTACCTTCCTCCGTTTTTCCACCATCTTTCTGGTGAAACTCCTGGTATATCCCAGTCAGGGCTTTTGCTGCCTCCAGTGACACTTTCAGATGTCCTATGACCTCCTTGTCCTCATCCACACTTAGAACTGGGAAACAAACACAAGATAACTTTGTAAAACATTTGTCTAAAGTCTAATACACTTTAAAACTTTGATGTCCATCAAAGGCAAGTGACCTTAGCAAACACAAAATTTGTTTTATCTCGGATATCGAGCTAATATTTGATATTTGCTGAGACTCATCCCCAACACATTTTCTGAGTGCTACACATTGCGCAAGATCTTTCTTCCAAAGATCAGACTCATTATTGATAGCAGTCAACAGGTTTTAATCAAATATAATCACTTAATGTTTATTTATAACCCATAAAACTTTTGCAGTCACCCCAAGTAAAGAAGACTGCTACATAAGTCTTAGAAAACCAACAAAAAAATGTGTATAACGCTTTCAGTTTTACAGATATGGTGGTACTATTCGGTGGGGTAGTAGCTGAGTCATTCCCAACACATTCTTCAAACACAACAGATAGCACAAACGCTCATTATCATGCATTTGCGCGTGATGTTATTGCCAAAATTTGATCAAAACTGGCTAAAACTCTATCATATTTCATAGTAAGACTGTTAGTTTCAAACTCTGGCATGAATGGTGGCTGGGGATATGCATCACTTCAAGAAATGATAGGTATTTAATCATTAGCAGTGCTGTTTTTTAATAAAATGGTGAATGGACTGTACTTATATAGCACCTTTCTATCTTTCAATTCAATTCAATTCAATTCAATTCAAAAATACTTTATTAATCCCAGAGGGAAATTATTTTGTTGTTGTAACTCGTTATCCTCATTTCATTAAGAGATGTTATAGATGCTGAGGTCTGTAGGCAGGAAGGATCTCTTGTAAAGGTCCATCTCACAGTGGATCCTAAGAAAATGGCTGCAGATGCCGTCCGATCCGTCCACCCAGACTCGGCTGGCCTCCTGGTTCCCCTGGACAGTAGGACCGCTTGAATGCCGGGCAGAACTCCTCCCAGAGCGATGGCCACTCCTCCCAGAAGTCTGCCGAGCTCCTCATAGCTGTGGACAGCCAACTGTAGGTGCTGAGGTACTATCTTTTTAAGATACTCAAAGTTCTTTCCAACACAATCTGTGCCCTCATTTACGACAGCAATATATTTATACAAAGATTAATCAGTACTTTAAATAAATCACACTCATACAGCGATGGGACACACATCGGAGGCAATGAGGGGTTCAGTGTTTTGCCCAGGGACACTTCAACATGTGACTGCTTGTGGAATCGAACCCCCAACTTTCCCATTGGGACTGCTCTAACCACTCAGCCACAGCTGTAAAAATATCACAAAACAAGACACAATATAAAAAAAAAAAATTCCCTACAAATGTCCCCAAATACAACACCTACTATCAATTTGTTGTTCAATGACATCATTTCCCGTTAGCAGCAGTTCCTGCAGGTCCAGGAAAGCGTGTCCGACGTCCACGCACTCTTTGTCGCTGTCCACCGGCTCACTGACTACTGTGAACTTTAACCTGCTCCAGCAAACGAGCCAAGACACAGTTTATGAACGAGACATAAAAAGATATAAACTCAGGTATTCTGCATGATATGAGCTGCCGGGGTTGTATGACCCTACCTGCCCTGGTTGGCGTCCGTCCCCTCCAGCATGGTGTAAAGATACTGTCTGAGTGGAGCTGACTGGGAGCCGTCCACATAAATCACTGAGGAGGACAATCAAAGACAAGATCTCTGAAATACACTTCTTGAACACCGTTTTTATTGTTCTTCTTGTTTTATTAACCTTTATTTAACCAGGTAAATCCCATTTAGAGCGCAGATCTCTTTTGCACGGGAGGCCTGTGCCTGAAGGCAGCCCAACCTTCGTGTTTTTGGATTGTGAGAGGAAACTGGAGTACCCGGAGACAACCCACACAAACACAAGGAGAACATGCAAACTCCACACAGAAAGACCCCAGGTCCAAACTGTACCCAGGACCTCCTTGATGTGAGGCATCAGTGCTAACCAGTTAGCCGTCGCGCTGCCAACGACATAATTTCCCGAGTCTCACCTCGTGTGAAGTTGTAGTGAATCTCCTCTCCTTCCCGTGGCTTGCGGAGGGACATGGGTGTTTCTGTCGTCTCCATGGGAACACCCAGCAGCCGATATTCGACATATACACGCTGCACCGACTGGTCCAACGCCACGTGAGACGACGGTTCAAACGTCAGGGACAGAATCTCAACTTTCAGCTTGTCTCCCTTTAACAAAATATAAAAATAAAAGCATTATATCACGATTTCAGCTCAGCGTTTATAATGTGCTTATAATTTGTCTGTACTTTCTTGATTCTTTGATTTGCAGGTATGATTATAACGTCGCTCTGAGTGGACTCTGAAGAATCAGGGGCTTCGCTGTCTCCTGAAAAAGTGAGGAAAAAACAAATAAGTGAGAATTGGCGAGAAAAAAAGAAAGGTTCAAATCTTTCAAAGTGGGATTTGTGGAAAAGTTGTGAGTAATTAATATCTTATCTGTTGTAGATATGGTGAGGTGGCCTCATTTAGGAGAAAAAGGGACTCGTGAGCTAATGACTAAGATGACGCTAACACTAAAATAGATTATTGTCAACCTTAAACAACTCTAATTCTAACAGCTATTAAAATTTTAAAAACCTTTACACCCACTTCGTGCTCACAGTGATATAAAGTTTTCTGTATATGCCAAATCATATTGCAGCAGGAACTTTAGCATTTCCATGTAGCCTGAGGTATTTTGAACAGTAATATCAATATATTCTTGCTAATGAACCATGTAAAGCAAACATGACAACTACGTAAATGCAGTGTTGTAATGTAACAAAGTAGAAATACTTCATTACTGTACTTAAGAAGAATTTTGACATATTTTTACTTTACTTCATTATTTACATTTCTAGCAACTTTCACTTTTATTTCAGTGCATTTCCTCAATAAAATGTGTACTTTTACTTCAATACATTTCCCTTAACCGTCTTAGTTACTAGTTACTACAATTTAAAATGAGAAGAAATCTGATTGGGCAATGCCTGTTTGTTCTCCCAGTCTGTGACTTCATGCGGCCACTTCTCCCAGTCTCTCCCCACTGCTCCCACTGTGAACAAGCTGGATGCATAGCAGCTACCAGTCGTTACAATAGAGCTTTACGACAGTAGCTGCTGGAAAGGAGAAGTTTGGTGTTCTCCAGGCATGAACCGCTTCAAGAGCATAAGAACTATTAGTTCCTGTGCTGTTATATTATCCTATCCTATATTAATAATTAGTCAGAAAAATACAAACCGTAAACAAACAGAACCGAACTCAGTAAACAAGCCAACTACACAACAATGTGAGCTTTCTAACAGCTTTGTTAATAAAGGTTGAATGAATATACTTCATTAGAATTAAACTTTTTAAAGAGCAATCTTTCATTGTTCAGTTCAAACTTTCCAAGTTTTTGTCACTGGATATTGCACCCAATAAATGTTACTTTGGAAATTCTAACCATTTACTTTTACTTACCTATTCTTTCTTTAAGTACATTTTAAGTACAAGAGAAATTTACTTTTGATACTTAAGTACATTAAATGTCCGACACGTTAAAACTTTTACTTAAGTAATAATTTTAAAGGAGACTTAAACTTTTACGAAAGTAATTTTATGGTAAGATACTTGTACTTTCACTGAGGTATATACAACACTGCGTAAATGTTTCTAAAGTACAGTTTATAAGAATGGCTTTAAAGTCTTTGAGATTGGAGTCGGTTTGAGGTGGCAGCAGTTTTAGATGTTTGCCCCACTAGAACTAGATCAGGCACCTTAATCCATCAAAACTGAAAGTGTTCAGAGCTATCTACAACAGGTAAGATACCAAAGTTCATGCTCAATAATCCAGGTAAAAATCCAACGATGTTCATTCAGGTCAGTTTCATCCTTCATCCAAAGAACTTCTTCAATCTGAGGAGCCACCAAAACAAATTGATTCCTACAAAAAGCATACTCCATAGTGGACAACACCAGTTTGCTGGTGCTGAGATGACGTCAGGGGTCCGCCCTCTCCCTCGTCATATCCTCTGAGACAGTCATGCCAAAGTGGTTCAAAACACCAAAGTTCATGCTCAATAATCCAGTTTGTTTTGGTGGCTCCTCAGATTGGAGAAGTCCTTTGGATGAAGGACGAAACATTTCAGCAAAAAAATAAAAAATAAACTGTTCAGATGACCTGACTGAACAGTGTTGGATTTCTACCTGGATTATTGAGCATGGACTTTGGTGTTTTGAACCACTTTGGCATGACTTTCTCAGAGGAGTTGATGGGGGAGAGGGCGTGCCCCGGAGGCCATCTTAGTACCAGCAAACTGGTTTTGTCCACTACGGAGTATGCTGTTTGTGAGAATCAGCTTGTTTTGGTGGTTCCTCAGATTGAAGAAGTTCTTTGAATGAAGGACAAAACGTCTCAGCAAAAAAATAGAAACTGTCCAGGTGACCTGACTGAACATTGTTAAACAGGTAAGATGTTAATTGTTCATAACATTTCCACAAAACCACACTTCAAAATGTCTGAACAATCCATTTATGGACAATTTAATTGCTTTAAGTTGGAAAAAATTTGAGATTCATTCTCTTTCCCTTTGGATGCTCAAAGAAATGTTGACTATGACTTTAAATTAAAGAAACTGACGGTAAATCGGTGAAATGTGTGAACAGTTACCACTCTCAATCATCTTTTCTTCCTCTTCTTCTAAAACTGACACTTGATCCACAGAAGGGACGTCCTGCAAAAGAAAGACATTCAAGCCCAAGTTTAGTGCCTTTTTTAGTCCAAATTACAGAATATTTGTGAACAGCCTTTTATTCAACTGCAAAAGATGAAGTTTTCAGAGTGAGTGAATGATCTGACCTGAATCCCAGCACCACTGACTGAATTTCCTCTTGAAGATGAGGCGATTGATTGTCTGGAATCTGACCCCACTGAAGACCTTAAATTGAAGCAAGTGGTTTTTTTTTTTAGCTCTATCTTCAAGTATGTTGACAAAACCTTGTAGCTGGTATGAAAATTATGGATTTTTTTTCCTGATATTATTTCCTGCTTACGCTTGACAAAGGCAACACTTTCCCCTCCCGCTCCCTTAGCTATTTTTGTGTTGAGGGTTGTTTTTTTTTTTTTAATTTTTTTGTTGCAACTTTCACACTGTGTCCCGTCTAGGACACAGTGTGAGATATGATATTTTTTACACCTCCTCTTCTCCCTGTGTTTCTCTTTTCTTATCTAAACGAAAAGGGCAGCGCCTCCCATGAGGCCGCAGCCTCTGACACCTCCGTCTCCCCGTGTCTGTTTGTTTGTGTTTTACTTGGACGGGCTGTACTGAAAAGTAATTTCATTGTGCTTCGGTGCAATGACAATGAAGCTGATTCTGATTCTAATACTTAAAAAAAAATAAAAACAGATAGTATGATGCAAACTTTTTAAATTTTGCCAAGTAATTAAGATGTTTTTGGAGTGATTTCTAACATTTCTGTTGTAGTAAACCCTGAAAACAAACAGATTTTCTACACTGTTATGCGAAATATATTTACATATTTTAAACATAAATATAGACATATATATTGTACACAAATGAAGTGTATCTTACTTCTGTTTGTGTAGTTTTGATCTTGGCTCCGGCGTCAGATCAGGTGTTTTCTGGCACACTTCTGCTGACCTCCTGCTCGATCTCCTCCTGTCTGCTGACGGACGAGTATCCAGAGGTTTCACAGAGGTGATTTGCTCCGATCGTATGTGCTGTGAGCTTTTCTGTTGTACAAGCAGAGGCTGAGGCTGTAAGCAGACAAAAACGTTGCTGTAAATAATTGCTGTGTGCCAGAAGCCTTTATTGGGATGTGAACTACGTGTGAAACCTTACCCAGTCTTTTGTCTCTTTCTGCACAGATTTAGTGTCTCTGGGTTCAGGATGTCTGGTCTGTTCAGGAAACAGAAACAGGAAGTGGATTTGAATGTGCACGTATAATTTACTCTACGTACAGTGAGAGTTAAATAATTTGATTCAGCAGAATCACCATCACTCTTGGCTTTGCTATGGGTCTCGGTGAGTCTTCTTCTCTTCGCTCCTCCCTCTGAGTGCTCCTCATCGCTCTGTCCTGCTCCTCCTGTCCACCCCGCAGTGCGTCCACCGGCAGCTGAAAGGGGTACTTCCATTTCAACATGACTCTGACAGTCCCCCGAGGGCCACCAGCTGGATCTCTCAGGACATAATCACCTGAAGGAACACAGAAAATAAAAATTACATTCAAACACTTGAATCTGTAAAATGCACTTAAAAAAAAAATCAGCTTTAGTTTCGTCTCACCTCTTATCTCTCTGCCTGTAGCCAAAGTTCGCAGAGGGATAGGAGTCTTGGCCAGGTAGGCTGGTGGCATCTGATCATCACTTTCGTCAAAAATGTACACCCACAGACTGCTGGACCTGAGGAAAACATACCTGAAAGGTCTTGCAAGAACTGGAAACTCCACAGGATCAGTCTTTAAATACGATTTCCAGCTGGCTAACCTGAAGTAGTGCAGCACATCAGCTGTAACTGCCAGAGGGTATCTGGTGACATCGTTGAACACTGGATCGGCTGCACACTGGATGGTTTGGGAGGTGTGAGGCGGCAGGTCGTACAACCTGTACGTCAGGTAGGCATCAGGAAGTAGTCCCGGCCAGCGAGCGTTCAGGCCGTCGCATTGCTCCAGCATCACCACCAGTTCATTGGGAATCCCACCACCATAGTCGTGCAACTCCTGCCGCAACACAAAACATCAAAACCATGTTAGCGCCAATTCACAACAGAAGTCATCTCAGGACACTGAACAGAAGCATTCATATATAAAAAAAGCAAGCTAACATTATTTATCTGAGGAGCAGACTGCTTTGAGTTTAACTTCATCGCAAACTTTCATCTTGAACCAGCACGAAGGCGACAGTGGAAAGGAAAAACTCCCTCATGAAGAAAAAGCCTTTAGCAGAACCAGGCTCAGGACAAGCGGCCATCTGCTTCAACCGACTGGGTTTGATAGGAACAGGAAGGAGGAACAGATACACAATGGCAGGTCAAGAATCACATGTTAACATAGAAATAGTATAAAATGAAAACTATTCAATTTTAACAATTAAGGAAATGAGGTCAATTTGTCCTCCAGTAGTCTAAGCCTATAGCAGCATAACAAGCCAACCCTAACTATAGGATTTATAAAAAAGGAAAGTCTTAAAAGTGGACAATGTGTCAGCCTCATGGACAGAAACTGGAAGTTGGTTCCACAAGAGAGGAGCCTGAGAACTGAAAGATCTCACTCCCATTCTGCTCTTGGAAACTCTAGGAACTGCAAGTAAGCCTGCAGTCTGAGAGCGAAATGCTCTGTTAGGAAAATATGGGACAATAAGATCTGTAATATAAGATGGAGCTAGGTTGTTGAGGGCTTTGTAGGTTAGAAGTAAGATTTTGAATTCGACAGGGAGCCAATGGAGAGAAGCTACAACTGGAGAACTATGATCTCTCCTACTAACTCCAGTTAAGACTCTGGCAGCAGAATTTTGGATTAACTGAAGAACAAAAAAGGTTGAATCATGTCATCTGGACTTCGTTTTTTTTGTTA